AAGCCACCCCACCTCCTCTCCTACACCTGACAGGCAGCTGCCTGTCCAGTGTAGGAGGGGGGAGGGGGAGGAGTATTAGAAGTAACTGTTAAGATGGGTCTGCACCTGACAGACAAACTGCCTCTTAGGTGTAGGAGTGTGGGGGGGAGTGTGTTGGAAGCCATCAGAGAGGCTGGGCCAGCAGCTTTGCTTCACCTCACAGATGGTTCTTGGCCACTCCTGATTTCCTCAACTGTCATTAGCTGTCTGCAGTCCCCTGTAACTGCTGTTTTGTTTTTGTTTTTACCTCAGAACACTGAGCCCCGCAGCTGACCAATCAGAGAGTGTGGGGGTGCAGAGAGGCAGCTGCCTGGCATCCGCATAGGAATCAATGGGGGGAGCACATTTCCCCCCTTTTGACCCACTTAGGGGTTGAATTTCTAAAAATCCCTTCTTAGCAAGCACCTATGCCATGGTAGGAGCGCTCTCCCCAAATTTGGTGTCTCTAGGTCCAGCGGTTTGGCCTAGGCGTTGATTTTACCATGAGGGGACTTTCTTTTATATATATAGATATAGATGGAGCCACTTCAAAAGCCCCATAATGGCTCATATAATCAAATTATGATGAAATTATGGAAGGAATTATTTTTTGTTAGAATGAAACTTCTGACTTCTTGGAAGCTTAATTTTGTGCAGGAAAATAATCTAATTTTAACATTGAAGACAGTATAAAACAAATTATCTTTAAAACAATTAAAATTACAATTTGGTTCATGGATTGAATTCAAGATTTGTTATTACAGGCAAATAGACAAAAATGTATCCTCAGCATAAAAGGAAGGCAGATAAGCGATACCATTCCAGCTGAGACTTTAAAACACTTATCTAAATTAATCTTCATTAAGAACATTAACACCTATTTTGCCAATGCAGTGACTCACAAAATGAGGCAGCCAGAAGACAGACCATATTTCTTTCATTTTACTCATGAACCACCCATTCTAACTTGATTCAGTTTCACAGAATAGTTTTTAAAAAGTCTCAACCCCCTCCCTTAGAATGCTATCCAACTAAATTCGGGAGGGGGTGGGAAGAGAAACCCTATATGCCCAACCATGGAACCTGTATGAGTAATACAAGCACAACCCAGCATATGAACAGCACAATTTTGTGATGTTCAGCAAGGAAACATATATTGTAGTGGGATCCATAGCCAACAATCAACTGAAAACTGAATTTTTGGCAGCAAGAGTTTTGAGAATAACAAGTTTATACACTTCAATAACCTAAAAATACTCCATCTTCTGAAGCAGCAATATGACCTTCAGCTAGCTTCATATTCTGTAACAGACATTCAAGTGACACGAAGGAAATAAATAAAGCCTTTAAAGCCAAAGCAGCCGCACATGCTAGGAAACTGCCAGGGGCTAGTCTGGATGGAGGAGATGCCAAATAGGACCACAAGTGTAACAAAACCTGCTTGTGCTGTGAAAGATACATTTTGTTAAAAATAAGCTTAACAGTGTTTGTGACCCAAGTGTTTTCTCCCTCTTGCTTTCACATACTGGCACTGACTCTTCCCCTTGCAGGGTTTACACTACTGCCTTCTTTCCCACCTCATACTCATTGTCCTTTACCCAAACTGATCTACTTTGTCTCATGACTGGAGAAAACAGGCTGCAGGGCTTGTTTAAAATAGCCTTGGAAGTGCTGCCTGCAGTGGCGACAGGAATTGGACAAGTTATGTGGGCAGGCAAGCAGAAGGCCATTAACAGCAACAACTGAAAAAGCCACTGACGGCCACAGATGGCCAATGTACCAGTAGATACCACTCTCCCCCTTACTAAATTAGCACTTCCTTCCAAAGCAAACCATCCACTCACGAATAAAGAATATATTTTTAAAATATGAGTAATGTGAACAAACATAATGAAGTTAGTGAACAAAGGAAAATTCCAGTGATTTTGGATTTTCTACTCACAAGGTATGATGAGTAAACTTTCCATTCTGCTTGGAAAAGAGATGTCTGTTCACCACAACAGTCATACAAATGGTTTAAAGCAAAACAAAGATATTCCACAAACAAAAGTAAAGCAGAGAAGAGAAACTGCTTGAAGACCAGCAAATATGACATTCAGTATATATCTATTCTGAACTTGGCCCCCAAATCAGCACCAATGGTCCTTCTAAGCTGTGGAGTCCCATGAGCAAAAATTGTACTTTCTGAGCTACTGGCATTAAAGTTGTGAGCAGGTTGTTCGGCTACTGCATAAATTAGGAGCCGTCCTTCCTGAGCTAGGACAAAAATGTCTGAGCCAGAGGCTGAAAAATTGTGTGCTAGCTCACACTAACTCAGCTTAGAGGGAACACTGATTAGCACAGTCTAGCTAGATATAACAAGGAATGATGTTTCAACAAACTTGGGGCAACTGAAAAAGGCAAAAGTAATAAAAAATTAAAATAGGGTGTTAACTCCCCCCAAACAGAGAAGTGATGTGTGCACAGGCACATGCATTGCAACTTCAAGGAGATCATGTTAAGCATTATGGAGGTGTCCATACATGAGTCATTAAAAAGGAGCAAACAAGGGGAGAGAACAGCAGTGTGTGGGGGTGCAAAAACAGCAGTGCAAAGACCGAAAGGTTAGAGAGGGAAGCGAAAGAGGCAATGTGGGGGTGGGGAGAAGGAGGAGAGGAAAAGCAATGAAAGGAAGGTGGAGATGAACAAGAGAGGGAGAAGCAGGGATGAAAGGTGAGGATGGAATTTCCTCTCCCCTACAAGTCCTTTTTGACTATTATAAATGTTATGGGTTGAAAACTCACCACTAAGAATAGGAAAGCACACTTAAATTTTGCAGTGCGCTTAAACACTTCTTACAAGCAGCTGAATGCATATGTTACCCATGAAAAAGGGCATTTCTCCAGTAAAACCGTACAAATTTTAAAGTATCTAATACTCAGTTAGTCTAAGCTCCAGGAGATTATACTATTAGGAAAATTCTCTTCTCAAATGAACGGACTGCGGTTTGGTGTGCCACAGACATAGAAATACATAGAGTTTTACCAGTGAATCAGCTGAAATAACTACAGTATAGAATAGCTTTTATTTTCTGTTTCTCCATCTTTTTAAAGGGTATTTTACATGCAACTCCTTCTCTGTTGCAGCCTTTATTACTGACCGGAGTCCAGATATTTTACCCAACTGCAGACCAGCTGGGTCTAATGCTACCCCTGTTAAAACAGGAGTGCAAATGATTCTTTATGCTATCAATTCTGATTCAACAATTCTTGGTCACTAAAAAAATGACAATTACACTTACCCTGAACCTGAGGGAACCTCCCCAATTTTCATCCACAGACTTCAAGAATAGCCCCTGAATACAGCTGCAAGAGAACAGATATTTAAACAAAATTAGGAGAGAAAATATCAATCAAATGTGTATGACACATTTTGACGACTATGTAAAAGAACTGAAATATGCCACTTCATAACCCAGCCATTTGGACAAAATCTAAGGTCCTTCAACTGAATCAGTTCTGTGAAGTTCAAGAGACAGAATTTAATGAAACAAAGGTAGGATTAACTAACTAAGCACTACTGGGTGCAGCCATTATTGACATCACTGAGATCTCCATTAAAAATGTTGGTTGGATTTATCTCAAATTTAGAATATATATTTTTTTAACCTTAGAAAGTTACTATGAAGCATCAGTTAGTATGACGTAGTTTCAAAGTTAGTATGAAGTAGCTTTTAAAGTATCAGTGTTCAGAGCAAAAACTCAAAATAATTCATCCAATTTTCTTTCTTGGACCCTGGATAACTTCAAGAATGGGAGAGGATACGTCCAGGACGAGGTGGACTCCGTCTGGCAAAAACGACAGGTAAGGTGTATCATACCGGAAAGCCAGTTTTTCTCCCACTCATCTAGCCGAGGTGACAGCAATTAAAAAAACCATTTTCCATGCTAGAAATTAGAAGGCGGAGGTCTTCCTCCCTGATTTCTTCCCAAATCCAACATCAGCGGAAGACAAGCTATTACACACTCTAGATGTGAAACGGGCTCTCCTGTTTTACCTCAATAGAACACACCCGACTAGACGAGACTCGCAACTGTTTGTCTCTTACGCATCAGCACGGCTGGGCACTCGCATCACGGCTCAGCGCCTGTTAAAGTGGATTGTGGGTCTCATCCGTCTGTGTTACCAGATTGCCAAACAGCCATTGCCTGGCCCTATCAAGGCTCATTATACCAGGGCTGTCGCGACTTCCACTGCCTTTCTCCAAGGAGTGCCACTGACGGACATTTGCAAAGCAGCTACATGGGCCACGCCTACCACCTTCATCAGGCACTACGCCTAGACGTCCGTATGAACACCAATACCAACATGGGACGTCACATTCTGTCTTCGGCTACGCAGTAAAAGACCTGCCAGCACCCTCCTCCAGGTAGGCTACTGCTCACTAATCTCCCATGGGTGTGAAGCACAGAGACCACGTCAAAGATAAACAGGTTGCTTACCTGTAACTGGTGATCTTCGAGTGGTCATCTGTGCATTCACACCACCCGCCCTCCTTCCCCGCTGCTGTCAGCTTCTACATTTTTAATAGGGGTTGATTTGCGGCAGTTTGTAGGAACTGGCGGGATGTCCGCGCCCACCCCTCTGGGCATGCGCGGTGGGGTTCCTGCGCATGCTCAAGGGACTGGGCGCGAAAATCCGTTACAAGATCTTGCTACAGCACCGATCGATCCAGCGCGTGCGCACTAGATCCCATGGGTGTGAATGCACAGATGACCACTCGAAGATCACCAGTTACAGGTAAGCAACCTGTTTTTCTCTGACTTTTGATATCATAGGCCAAGGCACCATTCTGGACCAAGTGGAAGATTAAGGATCAGGGTACTTCACTCCAGTAGTTCCATTCCTATCAAGTTCCAGGTGTTGCTGGGGGGGGGGGATACTGTATGATCTATGGCATTAATATTACAAGATCCTACACAGTTCCATTCTTTGCCCCATGATTTTTAACACCAACTTGTAGGAGAGGTCATTCATAGTTCTACCAGCTACAGATCTTCCTCTGGCCACAGCAATCCATGCTCTTGTCACCTCCAGGTTAGACTGCTGTAATACACTCTATGTTGAGCTGCCTTTGAAAATAGTTCAGAAGCTTCAATTAGTCCACAATATGGCAGCATGATTACTGTCAAGGCTGACCAAAGGCAAAATATCATACCAGTGCTTAAAGAGCAATACTGGCAGCCTATGCATATCTGGGCTTGATTCAAGGTGCTGCATTGTTTCTTATAAAGCACTAAATGGGTTTGGACCAGGGTATCCTAAGAACTGTCTTCCCTTGTATGAGTTTGCTTAAGACTTTTGTTAGTCATCATGTCCTCCCACCATTGTCAGAAGGTGTTTTTTTTCCTTGTGGCACCTTGCCTATGAAACTCCCTTTCCTTATCTCTTCACTCCACTCAAGATGTTTTTATTCAGTAAAACCTTTAACTGATTCAGGGCTGAACTGCACTTAGTTTGATATGTTATTCTCATCATACTAGGATTATTTTAGTACTTCTGCTGGATTTGATTTGATGGTTTTGGCGGGGTCTTATTTATGATAGAGTGTTGTAATTTAATCTGATATTCATAATTACATTTTTAAATTCTTTAAAACTTCAAAAATAGTTTTAAGGCTCTAGGATTTTATTTTCTTGTTGGAAATTGCCCTGGGTAGTTAATTTGGAGATGTGGTATGTAGATCTTTTAAATAAGTAAAATAATGAAATAAATCTTGTTAAGAATAGGTTATTGTAGCCACCAAGATTGTGAACCAGAAATTCCACAGCTCAAATCTTGCCTCTTCCATGAACTTACTAGATGCGCAAATACAAGTAAATCTCTCTCAGCCCCCTCTCCATTATGGGAAAAATCCTTCCTGCCTTGCACTGCTGTTGTAAAGATTATGGACATAATGAATGTGAAGTGCTTTGAGCACTCAAAGAATGCTACAGAACTGTGCAGTGTTATTCCTATTTAATCAGCCTTATTATTACTACAGATGATGGTAAGAAGGAATTTTTCCAAAAAGAAAACATAGGAAACACTAAAGAAGTAACAGATTGTTTATAATTAGATGCTACACTGTAATACATACTGTTGGAACATAACTGGGCGCCATGGCACTGCCCCCTATATTGGAAAGCCTGAACACCAGGCTCTGACGTCACCACATGTAGTCATAACATTCCCTGAACTCTGCAGTTGCAAGGTACTTTCACAAGTGTTTAAAATTGCATTTTCTCTTGCACTCAACAAGATATTCTCTTGATTCTTTCACTGCAGTATTCCAGACACTTCACACTAGCTTACATGTTACTGAGTTCAGTTTCCCTTGCATATTTGAGTGTATGTTTCATATAATTTACAAGCATATAATATTGGAGAGTGGTGGATGTCTGTTGTATGATGGTATTGTCAATTCTCACTCTATTTCAGATTTTTTGGGGGTAGATCAGTGGGTTTTGCTTCAGTTTGCCACAACAAATCCAGAAGGGAACTGGGGGTTTCTGCACATCCCCTTCTTCTGCTCAGTATTAAAGCCAGCCTTATAGACTAGAACTTTCAATGGACATTTAAAAGCACACTGCTTTCATCAAAGATGACAGAACAATGAATGTGGTTCATCACACAGCTGTCATCCCCACTTTGCATGTGAGCATAAATGGTCAAATTGTCAAATAATACTAAGAGTTTAATAACTTCTGGTTTTCAGTATTACTTTTTATTTAACATTGACACAGCATGAGATAGTAATATGCACAAACTCATACTTTGGTAAGACGTCTTCACATACAGTAAACTTCAATCATAATCTCCAGTTACCAAAAAAGAACAGCTACACAGGATATTGGTGTACCATCACAAACGTTCAAGGGAACCAACAGTACGACAACAAATTAATCTTCCTATGGAACTTCTTTTGATTTCACAAATTAATTTCACAAATTAATGTGAAAGGCTACCACATCACTTCTGCCCCCCCAAGCCCCAAGAATACAGAGCATCACTTGCCCCAGACTGAGAGTTCCTGTCTATACCTTGTGGCTAAGAGCCACTGGTGGACCTCTGCTCCATATGCTTATCCAATTCCCTCTTATAAGAACATCAGAGAAGCCAGTGCTGGATCAGACCAGTGGCCCATCCAGTCCAACACTCTGTCACACAGTGGCCAAAAATACCAGGTGCCATCAGGAGGTCCAGCAGTGGGGCCAGGACACCAGAAGCCCTCCCACTGTTGCCATATACAGGGGGCAGTGAGACTACAGAGATCAGCCCCCCAACATCCCCTGGAGAAAATGGCTGCTTTGGAGATTGGACTATGTGGCATTATACCTTACTGAGGTTCCTCCATTCCTCAAATCCCATGGCCTAACCAGTTCTGCCATGGGAATACTCCGAGGAGGGGGGTGATAGTCTTCCAAAATGATTTGCTTCCATTAAGAGGATAAGATACATCACCAGCCTTGGCTGTGGTACCATATCAATAGGGCTGCCCACCGTGGGCTGAGAAAGACCTGGAGATTTTGTGGGTGGAGCCTGAGGAGGGCGGGGTTTGGGTAGGAGGGTTGCCAGCCTCCAGGTGGTGACTGGAGATCTCCTGCTGTTACAACTGATCTCCAGGCAACAAGGATCAGTTCCCCTGAGAAAATGGATGCTTTGGAGAGTGGGCTCTGTGCCATTGTACTCCACTGAGGTCCCTGTCCTCCCCAGGCTCCACCCCCAAATCTCCAGGAGTTTCCCCACCTGGACCTGGCAGCCCTCCCACCCGGCCCCCCCACCCAGTGGCGATGGGGGACCTGGCAATCCTATAGTTGACTAAGGAGGCAGGTTACAAACATGACAGTGTGTCAACAAAATTAAAACCAGTCCAACTTTCTTTTCTGCTTTTCTTTTTGAGCAAGTCACAATTTTTTAAATTAATATTTTAAAATCGTTTCCTTTTTCAGGTTTCATAAATAACGCTCAGGAGCCCCCCAGGCAGAAAAGGGCCACTCCACTTGCGTCTCCTCGGAAGCAAGTTTTTTTGGGGGGGAGACAAGTTTGACACACGCATGCACGCACCCCCCCACACACACAAATTTAAAAGGGGGGGATATTTCTACAGAAGCACCACTTGGCATCAATCTTCCAATGGAACTTCTTTTGAGTAGATTAGAGGAAAATATAGACTCCTTCTCATCCCCATTTCAGCAGCAACTGCTTCCCCCCCCCCGCCTCCACCTCCCCAGCGTCTCTCTATTGCAAAGATGGGGGGGAAAGGGGGGGGAAGGGAAGCTTCGAGGAATCGACCCACCTCTTTCTTCCATGAAAATAAGTCCAG